TAATTAATAATAATAATAATAATAATAATAATAAAGGATTTCTTAACTGTAAAAACATTAGGACATGAACTATAGAACAATGTCAAAAGAACAGTTAAAGGCTGGCTGCAACTTGTACAGCAACCATTAAATAATTAGAGTTAGTAGTTATGAATTAAATGACAATTTCAACAAGGACAGACATAATGATAGATACATAAATTAGCATTATCAAAATTAATTAAAAAGTGATTCCACAAGTGATTGTAAATACTATATTTGAGAGAATTAAAGGAGAGAGAGACTTCGAGAGAAGGAAGACTGTTCCACAAACAAACGACTCTGTTGAAATAAAAATGTCTAGTGCTAGATAGACGCTTGTAGACATACTAATTAATTATTAAACCACTTGCTTTCACATGGACAATAATAAAAATGACAATAATATAATATTAAAGGGTTCTAGGCTTTTATTATGACATGTGGAAGGCTATATATTTCAGCAACTTCTTCTATTTCAATACAAAATTTTAAAATAAACAGGCATATAAGAAAAATCACACAAACAAATTAATGTGCTTAAGTCAAATCCAAAGCACACAAGAAATAATAAATTATTTGAAGTAGTAGTTAGCAGGATCAATCTGTGGCACTCTCTATAATGGTATCATAAAATGTCAGTTACTAATGAAATTAATTTAACTTACTTTCCAATTGATTCACTATATCAGTGATTGGTTCCTCTCCAACATCTTTCAATGCTGAGCACACTTCATTTAGATATGACTCAGGATTAGTGTCAGCATTAAGTCTACTCTGTATTGCATTTACTAGCTTGGGAGCTTTTTTTGAATCAATATCACGACCATTAATCATTTCATCATGTAGCTCCTGTGCTATCAGACTCCTAGCATTAAGATTCATTGACACTGTAGTCAGACAAGATGATATGGAGCGTGCAAGTCTAGCAGAAACACTTCTAAATAGTTCTGAAGTACCTAAATTGTATGAGATTAAAGTATACTATTTATCATTTATTTATTTACTTAATTCTAATCTGCGTCTTTTAGTAAGTGGATCTTCTAATGATGCCT